CCCCCAGAAGCCCCGCCCACTCACAATAATATCACAATCCAATTTCGGCAGCGGGGCCTTCAAATCATACGGAGCTGTAGTGGGGGTCACCGTCGTCGACAAAGTTGTAGCCTTTGTAGTGGTTGTCCAGTTGGTGGGCAAGTTGCCGCATATCAATTTGTCCTCCGGCACCTTGCACCGGACCGTGTACCCGAGGATGTTTCCGGTTAGGGTGTAACCCTGCGAGATGAGGTGCGCGTAGTTGTTGCCGGCAACCATGGTGTACTGGAATTGAATAGGTTACAAAGACTACAAAGACTACAAAGACTACAAAGACTACAAAGACTACAAAGACTACAAAGACTACAAAGACTACAAAGACTACAAAGACTACAAAGACTACAAAGACTACAAAGACTACAAAGACTACAAAGACTACAAAGACTACAAAAACTAGAAACTACAAAACCTACAAATTACAAAAAAAAAAACAAAAAGTTTGGCAGCCCCGGGGGACTCGAACCTACGCGACGCCACACCGCTGGATTACCAGCCATCAGCGTTAGCCACTCGGCCATGAGTGCAAGTTCAGCGAGAAGAACAGACGCTTTATTTATACCATTCCGCGCCACCAGAAGAGAAAGAAAAAGACTTTGCCACGCCGCGGACTCGAACCTACGTGTCGTCGGATCGCCGGCTGCCTGCGTTAGCCACTCGGTCATGGGTGCATCGTCGGTAACAAAGGCAGAGGGCGTATATAAAGAGGGCGCTTTTCCCCCTCTACTCACCCCCACATTCCTCTTGAACAACTCGCGCATCGGCCTCAATTTCAGTCCACAAATGTTGTCTTCCGATGAAAAAGCGGTTCCAATTCTTGTATAACTGACTCTCCTCCCGAAATCCTCCACTCCAATGAAATAGAACTTTTCGTCCAAATCGAAATACTGATAGAGGGGTACTGTAGACCCGCAGAACGGGAGGAACGTCTCATTTGAAGGGAAAATGCACACTGGAATAGGGTTATGGGAATCCATATTCGGATCCTGGATGAATCCAGTGCCAATAATTCCATCGGGGATTCTGGAGACATTCTGGAGAGGGGAGACGAAGAGATAGATGAGGTCGGATGGATCAGGGGTGTAGGCAGTGGTGCTTGCTGTAGATCCAGAAGACGTTGAAGCAGGAATCGTCGAGAATTCATAACTGGGCAACTCTCCATACACAAAATCTCCCCTGGAATCCTTACAATTGACAGTGTATCCAACGATATTCCCAGTCGTGTTGAATCCTTGATTCAGGAGGGTGGTGTAGGTGTCGTCTCCGGCGATCACTCGGTACTGAAACTTGAGAAGCTTGGAGAGCGCAGAGAGGTCAGACGCTCTTGCTTATCTGCGTTTCTTCTGTGAGAGAGGGCAGAGAAGCGAGACTGTCTGGTGTGTCTGCGTCTCTTCCATCTCTCTCTCTCTCTCTCTCTCTCTCTCTCTCTCTCTCTCTCTCTCTTCCTCAGAGAGCGCAGAAAAATCAGATACTCTGGTTTCTCTGCGACTCTTCAGCCCGCTAGACACAAAGGCACGACGCTGAAGAGAGCGCAGAGAAGCGAGACTGTCTGACTTCTCTGCGCCCCCTCCCTCTCTCCTCTCTCCTCTCTCTCTCCTTCTTGGAGAATGACTATAGAGAGAGCGCAGAGAAGTCAGACACAATTGTGTCTCTGCATCTCTTCCCCGCTAGGCACGATGTCACAGCGCTGAAGAGAGCGCAGAGATGCGAGACTGTCTGACATCTCTGCGTCCTCTCTCTCTCTCTCTCCCTTTCTACCTTTATCACAGAGAGCGCAGGGAAGCTAGACACTCTGGTTTTCTTGCGTCTCTTCTAACGGATACCCTGAGAAGAGGGCGTAGGGAAGCCATACACTCTTGTTTCTCTGCGTCTCTTCTATCTAACTGTAAGTACGACGAGAGCGCAGAGAAGCGAGACCGCCTCTTTTCTCTGCGTCCCCCTCTCTCTCTCTCTCTTACCCCAACGCCCTCCTTAAACAGCTCCCGAATCGGCACCAACTCGAGCCCACACGAGTTCTCCGCATTCTCAAAAGCGACTCCAATCACTTTTCCACTGACATTTCTTCCAAAAGTGTACAACGAAACGAAATAAAACTTCTCCTCCAAATCATAATACAAATACAAACTCCTTCCGAATCCACATCTCGAGATTACTGTAGAATTTGCAGTGAAGACGCAGACGTTTGACGTCTCCAGAATATCCAATTCAGACGGCGTGGTGCCAGATGGATCCAGCCAGTATCCCTGGGTCCCGGAGGATTCTGATACGATTCTGATGGGCTCCACATAGAATCCGACGGTGGAAATGGATGTTGGAGTGGGGGAAGTCATGGAGGAGGGAGTCGTGGATCCGGATCCAGGGATCTCTATGACGACTTCCCCGTTGGGGGCGGAGTCACAAGGGATTGTGAACCCGATGATTTTGCCGGTGGGGGTGTACCCTTGAGAAGTTAGGTCGGGATAGTGGTCGCCGGCGAAGACGGTGAACTGAAAGATAAATAGGGTTGGGTAGGGTACAGTAATCCTAGGGGTACTGTAGATACAGTAATCCTGGTTACTGTAGGTACAGTAATCTTAGGGCACTGTAGGTACAGTAATCCTGGGATACTGTAGGTACTGTGGGTACAGTAATCCAGGTTACTGTAGGTACTGCAGGTACAGTAATCTTGGTTACTGTAGGTATAGTAATCTTGGTTACTGTAGGCAAAGCGATACAGTCACCCCAGATACTGTATATACTGAAACTACAGTAACCTAAGCTAGCTACAGAACCTTTAATCTGTTTAGGTACAGTACCCCAAATCCATCAAACTACAGTAACCCTTGATAGTGTGGATACAGTAACCATTACAGTAACCCAAAAACAGTACCCACTCTACCTAGGCTTACTACAGTAACTCTCTTGTTATTTCATTTCGACAACTACCGTAATCCTACAGTAACCTGACTACGCTGGGAGAGCGCAGAGAAGTCAGGCACTCTCTTTTCTCTGCGTCTCTTCTATCGAATATTTTTATGAGAGAGCGCAGAGAAGCGAGACTGTCTGGTTTCTCTGCGTCTCTCTCTCTCTCTCTCTCTCTCTCTCTCTCTCTCTTCCGCTCTCTGTATCTCAGAGACACCGAGAGAGTGCAGAGAAATCAGATACTCTTTTTCTCTGCGTCTCTTCTATTAGATAATTTTATGAGAGAGCGCAGAGAGGCCAGAAACTTTCGTTTCTCTGCGTCTCTCCCACTCTAACCAAGAAGAAACAAAGCTGAAGAGAGCGCAGAGAAACGAGAGTGTCTAACTTCTCTGCGTCTCCTCTCTTACCCCAACTCCTTCCTTATAGAGCTCCCGAATGGGTTCCAATTCCAATCCACACTCATTCCCAATACTTCTGAACGCGTATCCAATATACGAATAAATAAAAGTGTCCGTTGTCCCGTAAACCGAATCAATAAACCCGACAAAGACATGCTCCCGATCATAGAACTGAACGACACGATCCACGTCTCCACATCTGGATAAAACAGATCCATTTCCATTCAGAAGACACACATTCGTTGGGGCAATTGGGGTGGCTTGGACTGGAGGGGTCCAGGGGAGATGGGCGGAGCCGACTCCTTGGGTCCCATTTGTGGAGTTTTTGAGGAGGATTGTCCAGATGGGAGTGGTGGTGAAAGTGGAGGATGGCTCCGGGAGCCCGTCGTCGTACCCGAAAGTTCTGGAAGAAAGATAATGGGTTTTGTAGTCTTTGTAGCCCACAAGGATATTTCTAAGACCGAAAGTCGATGGACCATTTTTTCCAAAATTTTTATTCTGAGCAATTTTAGGAAACTCGGGGTTTCGTAGTTTGTAGTCTTTGTAGTCTTTGTAGTCTTTGTAGTCTTTGTAGTCTTTGTAGTTTTTGTAGTCTTTGTAGTCTTTGTAGTCTTTGTAGTCTTTGTAGTCTTTGTAGTCTTTATAGTCTTTGTAGTCTTTGTAGTCTTTGTTGTCTTTGTAGTCTTTGTAGTCTTTGTAGTCTTTGTAGTCTTTGTAGTTTTTGTAGTCTTTGTAGTCTTTGTAGTCTTTGTAGTCTTTGTAGTCTTTGTTGTCTTTGTAGTCTTTTTGTAGTCTTTGTAGTCTTTGTAGTCTTTGTAGTCTTTGTAGTCTTTGTTGTCTTTGTAGTCTTTGTAGTCTTTGTAGTCTTTTTTCTTTGTAGTCTTTGTAGTCTTTGTAGTCTTTGTAGTCTTTGTTGTCTTTGTTGTCTTTGTAGTCTTTGTAGTCTTTGTTGTCTTTGTAGTCTTTGTAGTCTTTGTAGTCTTTTTGGCTTGTCCGAGAGGAGTACACGCCCCTCCACCAAACTCACGAATAAATGGGAAGATTCGCAGGTACAGTAACCGCCGTAAACGCGTATCCCAAGGTCCTCACGAACTCGTATCGATAGCTACCGTACTCCTCCAACTGACACGCCCCGAATTGATCGGGATACTTTCCGTTTGTATAGGCGAAATCTGAAATTTTGGATTTTCAAAAAATTCAAACAGAGGTGGGCGTGTCCTCCTTACTATCCGAATCTTGGGAATAATACTCATCATAACGGATCAATCCTGCTGATTCCTCTGCGGCGAGGTACCCAGCTTTGCCCAGAATTCTATCAGATCCTGATGGATTTGTTTCGAATTTCAGGCAGCCCTGAGAATCGATGACATTGAAGACAGGCTTGACGGTGATGGGAAGATTCTGACACGTGTCGATTCCACAGCCTAGATCCTTCAGGAACATCTCCTGGGTGGGGCCACGCACGGCGTTGTAGTGTGTGAGGTCTGTAATGAAAATCGGCTTCTTTATATACGCCCTCCCTCTCTTGTGTGGTTCTTGCACCCGTGGCCGAGTGGCTAACGCGGGCGGCGCGCAAGTTCGACTCCCCGGCGCGATAAAAGTCTTTTTTTTTCTCTTGTGGCGCGCCCAGGTATAAATAGGCCCTCTTTTCCTTCCGCCTACCTTGCACCCATGGCCGAGTGGGTAACGCGAGCGGCTACCAATCTGACGGCGGGGGTTCGACCCCCTTTCGGCGTAATTGTTTTTTTTTTCTTTTTTTTTTACTCACTTAGCCTAGCAGAGTCCTGTGTCACCACCTGAAATTGTGGCAGTTTTGTGAAATAAATGGATTTCATCGGAACGGCGGCAGTGTCCGTGAATCGAAAAATTGGCTCCAGGATTATTTTGTGATATTGGAATACGGAGTCCTGGAAGGTACATATTTTTTTGACGGCTCAGGATTCTAAGGCTTTTTCAGGTTTCTTGAAGCTTTTCTAGGCCAACACCTCCTCCTTAAGCGCCCATGAAAAACGTCTTACCACTTGAGAAATCAGGCATATTTGTAAGAATAGAAAGATAAAGAGAGGCTTCATGCCAACGATATATAGATAATCAAAATGAGAGTGATTGAGGGGAAGGGAAAGGCAAAAAATGATGTGGAGAATCATAAATTCTATGTAAATTTGACAAGGAGAGATATTAGCATGTAATCAATGGTGACTGAACAACGGCTCGACTAAAAAATATGTCGTTTCGCCTCAAAAACTCACAGTGAATACGCGTTTTGTTTAACTCGTTTTCAAAAGGTTTCATTCGCGGGCTCTGTCTTACTGTAGGGTCGCATGCCAACTGCGTGGCGACTCAGCGATACGTAGGCATTTTTCTCATTTTGTTGAAAAATTAAAAGTCAGGGCCCAAGCTTTTTTTTGAATCAAATTGAATAGGAATTTTTCTTCGCATCATGTTGAATATAATATTGACAGAATTTGATCGAAAGTTATTACTGAAAAGTGCTCTGGAAACATGGTGCGCGCTCCTTCGGCTTCAGCGCGGCTTACTGTCACATTTTAAAGACGCAATATGAAATTTGTAAAAGTCCATGTGAGATGGAGCGTAGAAACAAACCAAGGAAAAAAATTGTACGTACAAAAAAATTTACCTTGAAAATTGCAATTTTTGCTCAAACTGTCGGCAGTCTTCAGAAACCGCCTGGAAAATCCAACTTTGATAAAAAACAAAAAAACACTACAGTAAAAAGTTTCGGTCGCGTAGTAAGGCCTTCTTGATACAAAGCACATTATAATCTGCAGCTTGCTCTGTAGTTTTTGTAGTTCCCGTAGTTCATGTAGTCTTTGTAGTCTTTGTAGCCAAATTACTATACTGAGCAACCTCATGGAAGCTTGATGCACCTTTTTGTTCCAAACTTTTATTCTGAGCAATCTGTGAGAACTCGGGTTTTGTAGTTCGTAGTATTTGTAGTTTGTTGTAGATGAGTTCATTCGATAAGTTTATTCCAAAAACGACGTTCACAAAATACAATAAATTAAGCTTGACCAGTCTACACACGCGCCTCCGGCGCATTTGCAGACTGGTCATTGTTGATTAAATGATTTTTTTTTTCACAGGAGACGAAACACAAAAAAAACATTTTTGAAAAAGTACAGTTTTACTTGTAGAAATCGAAATCATTGGTGTCCTTCTTGACGACATTCTTGTAGGCCTTCTCCAAATCCTTCGTCAAAACGACATAACGATTCTCGCGAACCGCTTGCATACCAGCCTCCTGACAAATCGAATTGATGTCAGCACCGGAAATCTTGTCGGGACGGGCGACCCAATCCTCCAAATCCACGTCATCCGAGAGATTCATTTTGGAGCAGACGGTCGTGAAGACGAGACGTTTTTGACGACGATCTGGGAGTGGGAATTCGATTTTACGATCGAGACGTCCTGGACGGAGGAGGGCGGGGTCAAGGGTATCCTGACGATTGGTGGCCATGATCACTTTCACATTGGTGCTTTGATCGAATCCGTCCATTTGGTTAAGCAACTCGAGAAGGATACGTTGGACCTGGAAATTTGAAAGTGAAGGGTGCAGAATTCTTTGAAGCGCCTTATCTCGGCTCTTAATGAAGATAGAAGAAAATTGTCAACTAATGAAATGTGTAAAATTTTATTTTGAGCAATCCATCAGTGGACAACTTTTTCATAGCTTTACTCCTAATCAAGTTATAACGCGTCAAACTGAAAACACTGTACAACTCTTACAAGAGCTAACCCTATAGTTTGAAGCGTCGTATCTCGGCTCCTAGTGGAGATAGAAGAAAATTGTCAACTAATGAAACTCGTGAAATTTTATTCTGAGCAATTCATTAGTTGACAACGTTTTGATATCTTTACTCCCAACTGAGTTACACCCTTCTTACCTCACGATCAGCTCCAGTCTGTGCATCGAAACGTTTGGTGGCGATCGCATCGATTTCGTCGATAAAAATGATGGATGGACTGTTTTCCTTAGCCAGACGGAACACGTCACGCACCATTCGGGGTCCTGAAAAACGGTTATATTGGAGTATGAAGGTAGAAAATGCAGTTAACCATGTTAAGGTTAGCACTAATAGTTTGAAGCTTTTAATCTCAACAGCCATTGGAGACAGCGAGAAGTTCTCAATTCATGAAATATGCAAAATCACATGACAAATATTTTGTTAGTCGACAAAATTTAGCTATCTCCACCTTCAAGTGAGATACGGAGCTATAAACACCGGTCTAGAACGGAGGTGCTTGGATGTATCAGTAGAGCGCATTTTCTTCAAAGTTGTGTATCTCGGCTCTAAGTAAAGATGCAGGAAAGTTGTCAACTAATAAAATGTGCAAAACTACAAAACAATCATTTTATTAGTTAATAAAATTTCGCTATCTCCACTTTCAACCGAGATACGGGGCTCGAAACGCCCCTCTAGAACAGAGGTGCCTGGGAGTAGCAGTAGAGCGCACTAGCTTCAAAGTCCTATATCTCAGCAGCCATTGAAGACAGCAGAAAGATTTCAATAGATGGAATACACAAAATCTAATTCTGAGCAACTTTTTAGTTAACAATTTTTTGCTACCTCTACTCACAATATAGATACAATGCTTGAAATGCCGCTCTAGTAGTGAGATACATGTGAAAATGATAGCACTTGCTTCAAAACTCTCTATCTGGGCTCTCAGCAAAGATACATAAAAGCTGTCAACTAATGAAATATGCAAAATTTAATTCTGAACAACTGTTTAGTTAATAATTTTTTGCTATCTCGACTCACAACCCAGATAAAAAGCTCGAAATACTGTTCTAAAACGGAGGTGCCTTGAAATAGCAGTAGAGTATATCTTCAAAGAGACATTATATCTGAGCTCTTTGTGAAGATACAAAAAGTTTGTTAACTAAATAAATTTGCAAAATTCAATTCTGAGCAACTTTTTAGTTAACAATTTTTTGCTATCTCTACTCCTAGCCGAGGTATGAAGCTCTTTTCAGTGGAGCGCGCTTGCTTGTACCACTATGAACCCCCATCCCCTCCCGTTCCTAACTGTGATATATTTGATGAATAAATTCCCTTACCTTCTCCCAAATACTTCTGCACAAACTCAGATCCAACGACCCGAATAAACGATGCAGCTGTATTGGCAGCCACAGCCTTTGCCAACATTGTCTTTCCGCATCCAGGTGGTCCATACATCAAAACTCCTCTCGGGGGATCAATTCCAATTTGTTGATAGAGTTCTCCGTGAGTCAATGGAAGTTCGACAGCCTCTCGGACTTCTTGTTTCTGCATGTCTAATCCTCCGATATCTCCATATGAAATGTCAGGTTTCTCATCTGGACGAAGCATTTGGATAGAGGAATCTGCCTCTGGAGGTAGAACATCAACCAATGCATTCGAGTATTTATGAAGAGCCACTGAGCATCCAGGCTTCAGGAGTTCTCTGTCAAGAATCGAAAGAACACGGACATAATAATTGGATCCGGTGGTGGAACCAACGATAGCGTGGTTCTGATCGACAGCTTCCAAGAATTGACCGATAACCAGTGGAACCGATTGAATCCTTTTCACTTCTTCCTGAGCATGAAGCAGTTCTTTTTCGAGATTTCTCGTCTCCAATTTGATATAATCCTCCATAACTTGAAGATGTGCCAATTGGGTCTCCAGTGTTGTCAATTTGATGTAATCATCAGATGAAACATCCACTGTTGGATTTGGTGGTGGACGAGAATGAGTAGCCGGAGCCGGGGAATCAGCGGCCAGTGGAGATGCGGCGATACCGATTTCGTCGAGAGCTGCGGCCGACATTCTGGAAAAAGTGATTTAAAAAGTAGGATTGACGATTTTCGAAGAAGGATAGTTCCGACAAGAATTGAAGAAAAAAGGAAAGTCAATGAAAAAATTGAGGTTTTTCTATAATTTCGTCATGGGATTGTCTGGGAGCTATTGTTTTTGTTCCCTGTCGCCAGATATGAAAAAACGCCATCTTTATGTACTTCCCACGTCCCGGCGAAATCGACACGAATGCGAAACAACAATGAAACAACCGAATTTTCTATGATTTTTCTGATATTTTTTCACTTGGAAAGACGTGTTTGAACACGCTGAGTCGGAAAAATTTAGTCTCGATCAGGCTTCTTCACTTAGTTTTTGAGATAATGCGATTTTTGTACTGAAATCGAACCAAAATAATTGTGTTGATTCCGCCGGGCCATGCGCCATCCTTCTGCCTCACTGTCTTTTCTCGCTTGGCCGAGTAGCTGGAGCGGGCGGCTGGTAATCTGGAAGCGCGGGTTCGAAGTCAGACGATTTTTTTATAATTTGACGATGTTCTCTTTTTTTTTCATTTTCATCCTCATCGGAGTCTATTTTTACTGCGACACACGGAAAAGAGACAAAAAACATAGATTTTTTTTTAATTTGACACGAATTCCGTGCTGATATTTGATGAAACTTGAGTTTTTGAGTCACAAATTAAAATTAAAAAGACACTTTCAATTCGTAATTTCTAAACAAAAACGGCATTCCTCAATGGACCTCTCTCATCCAAACAACCAAAAATTCGAAATTTCCTTCTGGGACGGCACTCACAAAAAATCGTCAAACACAGCCCGAAAATCAATGAATTTGGTCAGATTTATTGGAATTTTTTTTGGGAAATATTTGAATTATTAACTAAATAAATATTAAATAAATGGAGATCATATGGAATCACAAGAAAAATGGAACAAA